CTTTGTTACAGCCCTGCCACCTCCACTGTCGTGCCCAGCGGTGCCTGGACTGAGCAGGGCCTTCCTCAAACCAAGATGGAGGCTGCCTCCCAGCTCCTGGCGCCATTAGTTGGCCACAGGAGGGATGGTTCCCCGTAGCTGCTCCCCTGCCACTCGTCCCTGCAGCTGCCACCACCTCAGCCTGGCTGCCTCCCATTCATTACCTGCTGTGTCCCAGTGACTCTGCAGCCACCTATGAGGTAGGGAAGGTGCTGCTTTCATCTCCATTTTATAAATGAGGGGACTGAGTCTTAGGTTAGGGAACTCACCCCATGCCATGCAGCCAGCAGGTGCCGGGCTGGGATTCTAACCCACATCAAGGCTGTCACCCCAAAAAGGTCTCCTCAAGGGTCCTGGGCCTTGGCCACCTGTTCTGGCCCTTCTAACTAGCCCGTAGGCTCCGTCCTCCCGCAGTGAATCTCCCTTCACTGACTAACCTCAGTTCATTCAGTCACTGAATGCCCACCATGTGCGAACTTGGACCTGGACCCATGGCTGGGGTGGGCATCAGGGTATGGAAGTGGAGGCCGTGGCCAGAGACCCTGGTTAATGCACAGGAGAGCTTGGAAAGAGAGCCACCCGCCCAGGCACGCCACGGCTTAGAGCTGGGAGGCTTTCTCAGCATGTCGGCCCCTCAGACGAGGAATGTACGGTCCCGGGCCTGGCCTGGGGGTGGTAACAGTGGCCTGTGAATGGGGCAACATGAGCACTTATCAGGGTCCAACCAGTCCCGTGGGAGGCCCCTGGGGTCTAAAATGACACAGTCACCCTAGGATGCAGCTCACGGCTGCTCCAGGCCTTAGTGCCCAGGACTTGGTGGGAAGAGACCATGTTCTCTGTATCCTTCCCAACCTGCGAGCCCAGAGCTGGGGGAGAGCTGACCTGGACAGTGCTGGCCAGAGGGAGGATGGCAAGCAGGAGGGCCTGATCCATCATTGTTGGTGAACAATGAGCCGTCACCAGCCTAATTAAAGATGTAATTACAGCAAATGCATTCTGGGCTGAGAATGAATGACGGATGGCAGGAAGGCACCTCGTAGCCAGCCACCAGGAGATGCTGCTGCCTAAAGCTCCTCACTTCCAGTTGGGGAACCCTCCCCTCAGCATGCGCGGCCCCTCCCCCAAGCTGGTTACAGGGTGTCCTGATGCCTCCCAAGGGGGCGGTGACAGACAGGTGGGAACTAAAGCAAGGGCAGGGCTGGTGAGACCACCTGCCAGGTAGTGGGGCGGGGCCCGGAAGGAGTGGGCACCTCTGCGAGAGCATCACCAGAGCACACACCAATTTTCCAAAGCACCCCTGCTGGGGGGTTACAGAGCCCTGCAAGGGCCTGAGGGACTGGTGGCCATTGGCCCTCGGCCCTGGAGAGTGAACGCAGGGGCCAGGGGTCCGGAACTCGGCCTGTAAGGAGCAACTGTAGCAGGGATCTTGTGGGCTTTTAGGTCTGGCCCGGGTTTCAGGGACTAGGTGGTGAGGGGCTCCCCTGAGGCCTCATTTGTCCTGGGGGGTCAAGGGCAGGGGACTGGCCACGTGAAAGGAAGAGAAGCGGGCTCCTCCCACTGTCCTAGTTGCTGCGGCTCCCTCTTCCAGCAGGACAGGCCCCCAGCCACCTCTTACCTCCACCCCAACCCGTCCAGGACACGCTTAAAGTTGTGGGTGCTGGTTGCACCAGGGTTGCCTGCGTTTGGGACATCTTTCTCTACTTGGGATCTGTGCACCTGGACCCCAAGGCCTGTTTGCCCTGGGCGCCCAGCCCCGCTTACGCTCAGGGAACAGGACACCCTGAGCACGGGGTCGGGTCGCTCTGAGGCCAGCCTGAGCTCTGGCCACCCCAGGGCTGAGGCACGAAAGCTGGCCCAGATGGGGAGCTGGGTGGCCTCTGCTCTTGGCCCAACTGCCATAGTGGCCCCTGGCCAGGGTCCTTCAGGGTGTGTGCGCTGACCCCAAGGGAGGGAGGGCTGGGTAGGGGGCGGTGAGGAGCCCAGGCAGCAGGCAGAGGGGAGGGAGGGAAGGCCACTGACAGCAGAACAAATGCTTGTAATTTTATAACCAATCTCAGCGTGTCCGTGGGGGGCCGTTTGTGCCTCCACTCAGGACCAATCAGCCTGACAGAGCTATGAGTCTGCCTGAGTGAATGTGAGCAGCTTCCCCCCCCAACACCACTTACTGCAATCTCATTACCCGCCCAGCCCAAGGCCGACCCGCGCTGAGGGGCTGCAGGGAAGGGCACCCAGCCCACCCTGGAGCAGAGCCAGGTCAGAGCCAGGGCTGGGCCTGGTGCCAGGAGGGCAGGCCTTGGGGACCCCGGCACAGAGGGAGGAGGGACCGAGGCGGGCTTAGGACATTTATTCTGCACCCATTGGCTGCTGAGTGTGTGGGACAGGACAGGGCACAAGCCCCTGCCCTCAAGGGGCCTGCAGTCACTAGGGCAGATGGAAAGGTCACAGAGGGAGGGACCCCAGGCAAGGCAGAGATGGGGGAGGGACAGGAGGGCAGACGGCTGAAGGACAAGAAAGGGAGGCAAGGCGGGCAGAGCCTCACGGCAGAGCTGGCCTTGGGCGAGGGTGGGAAGGAGAGGGTAAGACATCAACGGAGAGGGAACCAGAGAAACTCTAGGCGGCGAGACGCAGGCCATGGGAGAGGAATGCCTTCCGAGGGGAGGGGGGCCGGTGGGGAGGGGCCGGCTGGCCAGTGGTGGATATTAAAGGACGGCCTTGCTGGATATCTGGCTCTGGGGATGGCTATGTGCCCATTAGTCTCTCTAATTGTCAAAAATCTAATTTAGTGTCTGGAGCCCGGGCCGGCCTCAGGTTAAATGGAGAAAGGCAGGCCTAGCCATAAATCTGCCCTCCCAGCCTGGGCTGGTGCTAATTCTGCAGTTAAGTGAGGGGGTGAGGAGGGCAGCAAGATGGGACAGGGAGGGTTCTGGAGAGGGGTTCTCTCCGACCCTGATGCCCGCCCCTCTGGCTAAGTCATGGCCAGGGCCCCCTCTCTTGCTGGAGGAAGGGGACTGGCTTGAGGCTCATTTGAACCATGCAGGGGAAGTGCCTCAAATGTGTGATGAGCTCAGAGGCGGCGTCTTGGGGTCCCTGAGACTAGGATTGCAGAACCATCAGTCCCTCCCCAACCCCTCCTCCCCCGGGACCCACTCGGGGTCTAGGGGTCTACTTGGGCTCAGCTCTCGCGAAAGGATGGGTAGGAAAGTCACATTTCCTGACACCATGAGCCTTTGGTGAGAGGGGGGGTTCATACCATGTGACCAAATGACGGGTCATCCCGTTCACTAGTTGGCTGCTCGTGACGGCCCCAGAGATGAGACCACAGGGCCCTTCCTCAGTGGGGAGGACGAACATGACCCTTGGGGAGCTCAGACTCCAAACAAAGTGTGTGGAGACGGGACGGCCCCCTCCTCCCGGGACCTGTGTGGCCTAAGGCAGGGGAGGGCTTGGTAATGACCTCACTCCCCTCAGAGCTGCTAATTGAAAGCAAGGGGTGTGGTGGGCGCAGCAGGAAGGGCTGGGGGACTGAGAGGGCTCCTGAGAGGCTCTGCTTCCATGGGGGGAAGAAAACGATTTCTCCTGGCTTCAGCTCCATCTCACCAGGCACCCACACAGCCTCTCCTGCTGCTAACGAAGTGCCTTTAATTAGCAGCCTAATAAAATGCTCTTAATTGGCAAGAGCCAATCAGGAAGGAGAGAGGTCTCCTCCCCTTCATCGTTGCTGATGGTGGCACAGCTATAGGCTTCTAGGGGAGAGGGATCCCGGACCCAGCCTGGCTCTGGGAAACAGGGACTTCAGGACTGGGCCTTCCAGGGTGGAGCCCTGGACCTTGGGTTTTGAAGGTGAGACCGCAAACCCCCTGGCCCAGCCTCTGCTCAATACTGGCCTCAGGAGGCCAGCTGCTGACAACTGATTAGATGCCAAGGCCTCAGTGGCCGTTGCTGACCCTTCCCTCCCTGTCCTTAATTGTTAGGAAGGTGATCTAGTGTGGTCTTGGGCAGTGTGGGGAGCCCCTTTTCCTGCGCAGGTTCCCCATCCCCAAACGCTCGGTGCACCCGATGCCCTGCATGTCTCCAGCTCCAGCAGGGGTGGCTGTGCACGGGCCCTGCTGCCTCGCAGTCTGAGAACGCTCTCTGACCACAGCGTCAGTCCAGGTACAACCGGCGCTGAGACCACACGGCTGACAGAGCTGGGGAGCCTGGTCAAGGAAGGACACTCCTACTCAAAGTCCACAGATGTAAACCAAAGATGGATTTATTTTGACAAGGGTCCAGCGCAACTCTGGGAGAGGTGGGGGAGGGGGGGATGACGGGCACCCTTGTATCTCCCCAGGTTTGGTTTAAGGAGGGAAGGTGGGTGTGTTAATGCCCCCTTCATCTTTATAGGTTATTGGAGTCTCTCTGGAAATTGCTCCCGAATGTGAGCTCACCTGCCTGCAAATCTTCTTACCCTCTCAAGAGGCGCATTTCTGGCTCAGGTATGGTTGTGGCAGGTCAAGGCTGTGGGGACCAGTCCCCCCATTAGACACCACTCTGGCTTCAATTTAATTCAACATGGAACGTTCATTCTATGCCAGGGGCCCCATATTGATTCACACCATTTGGCCCCAACTTGTCTCAATGTTGTTTTCTCATGTCAGATTATCTTAAAAGGTATTTGTGCACTCTCTCAAGTTGTGTATCGAAAAACTCACCTACTCAACCTACTGATGTTGGGGCAAAGAGACAAGACACTTGGAAAATTCACTTTAATCTTATATTTGTAATTTAAGTTACTTTTTTCTGAACAGTTAAAAAAACCAAAACACACTATATTACCATGATTCTAGGTTGTGAACATATTGGTACATTGACTACACATCACCAAAACATAATCACAAAAGTCAAAGCGGTCAGTACTTAATAAGAGTCTAGAGAACAAAGGGCTGAACCAACTGAAAGCTCTCAGGGAAGCTCACATTCGTTGCCAGGCCTGTCCCACGGCTGGAGTCCAGTGAACGTCCCTCAGAACAGTCTGGGTTGGGCTTGAGTGATCAATGATCGGGGAAGGTGTTAGTTTTCTTGGTACCCAGAGGTCTAACCCTCCACGTTGGTCTTTTCATTCAGTGTCCAAGAAGGAAAGGGACAGAGGGGAAGTATTGCTTTATAATGCCATTTACTGTACTTATCCTTAAACGCACACCGAACCCATCAGGAGCTGAGAGAGCCAGATGGGTGGGCCATGGAGCACATAGTTTTAGATGTCGCCTGTCTCCAGGAAATTTTAATACCTAAACGCAGGTACTCAACTTCCAACAGAAGAGGTTTCAGGAAGGTGGCATTAAGTGCCACCAGGTTGCCATGATCAAGTTTTTTTTGTTTCTCTCCTTAGTTCCAAGGATATCGAAGTCACAAATGAACTACGGGTAAAAACAAGAAGCAAAACTCAGCCGTCCTCCCGAGTAGCGGCTGCGTGGACGAAGCCCAGGGAGAAGGACTCAGCCCGCAGGCTCTGGGTGCCCACGTCAGAAGTGAGGATCATTCCAGGAGGGAAGAGAAGGCCAGGAGGAGCAAGGTCACCTTTTCATGTTCTTCACCTCCTGGAAAGTCTGCTGGACTTGTCCAAATGGGGAAGGAGATCGAAATGTGGATTAAGGTGGTAAACGTGACCATCAAGCATGTGAGGGTCACAGGTAGTAGATATCTAAGTACCCTTTTTTCTCCCTCAAAGTGCCTTGGGTTCCTCCATAATCAAGCTTGTAGCCCAGGCCCTCAGGCCGGCACTTCCGGCAGGAAGGTATTACCATCTAAGGTAAATGGAGGACACCAAGGTTAACAATTCTAGGAAAGAAAAAATTGTCCTCGTCATTTCCAATATGCCCCACCCCTACCCCCCTGAGCCCTTTGCTTCTACACACAGTTAAGCACTAAGCAAGGAGGAGGCCAGCCCCAGTGGTTCAGACCAATGGGTACCAAGAGATGGTAAAAGGTAAGAGTGCACATTTTCTTTTCAGCTTTTGATTTTACAAAAGAAAAATAAAAGAGGATTTTTCTTACTCAAGCAGAACACAGAATGATTTAGGAGTCCGGTGTCTTTTCCAGTTCAGAAACAAATTATGAGGACCAGACTTTACAGTCTGTCAACAGAGTTCCAGGGAGTACCTGTCTCTAAAGCTTCTGGTGAAGAGTCACCAGAATTTTGCCAAGGGACAAATGTAAAAGGCTTCCCATTCACAACACATGTCTACTTTCAAACTGCACTTAAGTAAAAGGGTGTTCTCAGCAGCAGAAACACACACGTGTGGCAAGGCATGCTGGCTCTGTCCAAGCAGCCCCGGCGAGAACAGAGAGCTCACATGCGCCCACGGAGCTCCCGGGTGTGGGTGCACGCACACTCCCCTTGTCCACCTCTGAAGGGGCTTCCCCCTAGCCTTAAGGAACATTTCTTTCAGGTCAGGCCTACGTCGGAATTTTAGTGAGAAGAGACTAATCTACAATGGAGACATTTCATTTCGGAGCCCAGAGACACCTTCAGCTCCTTTTCTACCATTCCTTTATATGTTGAGACTTTCTTTGTTTCTCGTTTTTAAAAAGGTCAAACTTTACATTTATTCTAGCCCAGTTGGGGATTAGTGATAATCAATTCCTACTGAAATCATGCAGAGATGGTAAGTGGGGTTTACCTTCTCTGGAAATGAACTTCTACTTACCTGATTATTTCTTCTACAATGAACTGGTAAATGACCCCCAGAGCTGAGAAATGTGACTGACTCAAGTTTTTCAGACCACTTAACTTCATTCCCATTTCCATCAGCAGCAGAGGACAACTTGGGGAATATCCTCCATGGAGCTAATGGCTCCAGACTGCAGGGCCCACCTCAATCTCATTTATGATGTACTGGACAAGCTTCAGAACAGTCTTAGAAACAATATACCTTCAAACCTAGATGGGAGAGCAAAACCCCAGGCACCAATGAATATTCAACAGCTCTCACTTTAGAACAGCAGCATGTAACAGAAGGGCTAGTAAGTTATGGCTATTGGACAATATTTTAAAACAGCTTACAATCCATGCCTCTTTAATGCCTGACCTGTGTGTTTTTCAGGGCTGATGGTCCTCTGATACATCTGTAGCAAAATCGTCAACCAATCAAAAAGGCATTAATAGTAAACACAATGGACAAGGAACCATGATATGTAACTAGATAGGAAACATTTCTCTGTAGCATTTGGGTAGTTAGGAAGGGATATTCAGAAAATATTTCCTAGGCAATGTAATGTATCATTACATTGGGAAATACGTTTTGAACATAACCTGGAACTAAAAGCTTAAAAGCACTCATAAAGCAGAAAAGGAAAAATGCATATGCATACCTGCCTCTTAATATGTAATAACAACATTCAGTCTGGGCATATTTTGGGAAGAGGACACCTTTTTGCAAATCAGAGGGAACAGTGAAGATGGCTTTCTCTGCCTTCGCCATTGCCAAAATAAAGGTGGCCTGGCCTTGAGGTTACTTGCAAGTGGCTCCCATTCTGACGGTTTTACAGCAGCTGGTTAAAAAGGGGCTTTCTTTCACTCAACTGCTTTGATCAGGAATGGAAATAGGCCTGGCAGCTCAGCTTCCAAGGGAAACGCAAGACTGCGCCGTGGCCTTGGGGATTGTGATGGGCATGCCCGTGCCTCCAGAAATGGCTGGGGCAGGGCCGCTCCCGCCCCGAGAAACAAGCTAGGCACACGCTGATGGCATTCTCTGCGCTCCCAGTTTGCGTGGCACATGTGCCCTGCACCTGAAGCCCATGCGGCTGCCTTTCAATGGCCTGGTCAGCCCGGCCCTTGCTGAGGTCCTTTTGTTTATGTTATTCACCAACTCCCAGAGAAATTTTACTGGTTGGGGAGAGTGGAGAGTAAAATAAGACCAGGAGGAAGAAAGGAAAGGAAAAGAGAAGGCAGTTTCTGCCCCAGTAGTAAACCCTGTGTGCCAAACTTCACCCTGATCTGCTCTCTCTGGCAGCTTTGCCTTTGCAAATACTGGGTTTGGGAAAAGCAGAAGGAAGGTTCTGCAGTGCAAGGTTGAGATGATTTAGCTTGATTTTTGAGAAATGCTATTTACTGGCCTAAATGAAAAAGAAATACAGTTTTACTCCTGACCACCTCTTAAGCTACTCTGACCGTGGGCTTGGCAAAGATACAGGTGCCTTTGTGCTCACGGGCCCTGATGAGGAAACCAGAGATCCGAACTATTATGCAGACAGAACACGCCGACCAACCGGTTCTGGCTATTCAAGCCTTTCTGTAGGCTGAGCCTTACCAGTGATTTAAGATGAAGTACAATGCTTTTTATTACACATCTAATTGTTAATGAGAGAAAATGCAATCAGCAACTCCTTTCCACACTCTACATGGAATCCAGGAGACTGCTGAGTCCAGAAAAGATGTGACCATTGATGGAGCCCAGGGAATTTCTGCTCCACCCCCTCCCCCTGTTTGGGGAGGGGTGTTAAAAGGAGAATAGAGTTGCAAGGATGATGAAAATACCATGTCTGAGAACCCATTGTTGTCATATAGGGTCACTTGCAGCAAAAGCCTGTTTGAAATTTTGACTGAACAGCATTTAACTTTTCTGAAAAGTGTTGCATTTTCTAGCTGATTTGTCTCATGCTAACTGAAGACACTCTCTTCATACTTTTCAAGTGGAGCAGAGAGAGAGGCTGAAGGGGAATGAGGGGGAAGGGGGAGAGAAATAGAGAAAAGGGATGGAAGAAGAGAGGCCCAGATCTTCCGATGTGCTTCTTCTCGTCTCTCTTCTTTGCCCTGGAGACCGTACCAACAGCCGTCTCCTAAGCACAGTGGAGCTGCTCTGATCTTGCCGGGCGCTGGGCACTCTTGTAGTTCACAGGGAGACACTGGGTGCTCTCTGGCTTGAAGTTGTAGCCCCCTTTCCCCTAAGAGTGGGTCTCTCCCAGCAGGCTACATAGGAAAACTAGTTCTTCTGCTTAACGGCAAAGCAAGAGAGATTCTGGCAAAACACTAAATATATTTATAGTCATCTTTGTCTGGAACCAAATGAGGAAAAAAAAGGTGCAGAGGGGAAAGGAAGAGGGGAAGTGAGGTGAGGTTTAAAAGTTCCAATCAGTCACGAAAGATAAAGGATCTTCGGATAGCAGCACGGAAGCAGTCAGCTGTGCTGAGCAGACCCTCCTGAGTCGACTGCAGACCAACTGTGTCCCAACAGGAGTCTCAAAGCCCCACTCCTCGGCTAGTCCGGGGACAGCGGGTAGGATTTTGATTGTTACTGTTGTTGCTCATCCTGGTATTGGCAGATACGTTAAATACCGCAACTTTAATGAGTCCTGTGTGAAAACAGAGCAAATAGTCATTAGTCCCTTTCCCTGTATTTCTCACTTGCTCTATGAAAAAAAGAATATTAACTTAGCTGTCAATTGGGAGAAAGGCTCAGAAATCCTTCTCAATGCCTGCTCTTGGACCCTGCCAACAAGGAGCTTCTTTTTAAGGCTACATGGCCTGTTTGGGAACTTGGCAGGGGGCTCACTGCCAGGCTCAGAGTCACGCAGGGCGACTCCGGTGTCTTGAGATTAGGAGTGACTACGGTAGGTCACTGTTCATCTCAGTTCAAGCTTTCGCCTGCTCCCTGCAAAGGTGCGGCAGGTGAGAACAGCTCTAAAGTTCTGGCCCTGAGTAGCCTTCAGAGACAGATGTGACAGTGGTCGCTGGATATGTGGCCTGGAAATTAAGGCAGAGGCCTTAGGAAGAGATAAGGCAGCAACAAGGGGGAATTAGAAGAGGAAGAAAAGCCTGAGACAGACTCTTAGGGGATGTGTATGTTTTCGGGGTGACAGGGGAAGGAGATGTAAGCCGTAAGAGCGGCAGGAAAAATATTAAATATGGCAAAATGCCATAGAACTCTCAGGAGCAGCAAATTTTGGCAAAAGGAGGGGATACATGATGATTACAATATTAATACTGATGAGCCACTTTTTACTAAGGGCTTGTTACCTGGTAGGCATTGTGCGAAGCACTAAGAATTTTATATATAACATTTCAATTGCAGTCCTCACAACAGCTCTGTGTAGTATGTACTGCAACCTTCATTTTATTAATAAGGAAACTGAGGCTCTGGTAGGTTATGTGCCCAAGGGTACACAGCTAGGATTCTCACCCAGGCCTTCCTGTGTGACTTGGCTGAGGAGGCTCAGGGACGAGGAAGCCGCACGTTCTCTGTGAGAAGTGGGCACTGAAATGAGCCCAACCGGGCACGAACCACCCTACTCAGAAAGACCGCTGTAAGAGATGTGCAGAAGAGCGTGTGAAGCGTGCTCTGCCACAAGCACTGACGTAAGTGTGGGACGTGATCCCCAGTGGCAGTGCAGCTTTCCTAAACCAGCGAGGACTTAAGGCATGCCGACTGGTTAGGACACCAGGTAGGATGGGAATATACCACAATATAGTTAAAGATGAATTTTAGGACTTTTTCCTGACTCAGAGGGAGGATAAAGTCTTGCATGAGTGAATACATGGAGTCCTCAGCAACTGCAGAGATACTTCCAAGGTTAAAAGACAGTTCTTTTCATTTTTAGAGGGAGTAGGGAGTGGAAATAAGGATAAAAAAAAAATCTACCTTTTATAATCAGATGACACTGGCAAGCAGAGCTCTAAGAAGTCAGCATTTTTCACCCTGAGATGTTCCCATTCATACATTAGGTTAGCTACCTGATTTAAAGGGTCTTTATTATAGGTGCTGGTTTAATTTGGGAACTACAAAGCCACAGGCTTTTGGGTCAATTACTCTTAGTTTTGAAACTGATTCAAATCTCTTACTTTCTTTTTTTCCCCTCCTTACTTTCTTAACAATCCTATTAAATAACTGGGGCAGGAATTATTAGTTCTACTGCACATAGGCCAGCTAGATCTAGTTCAAGAATCATCTAGAACTGAGGCTGGCTACCTTGATGAAAGCAGCATCCAACACACAGTACCAGCCCTGTCTCACGGTGTCAGCTTTCCTTGCCTTACACGACTTGGAAAGATACAGGGCATGAGAAGGCTCCATGAACTACCAACACCTCAGCCAATATTCCATCTCCTATTCACGGTGCTATGTACACAATTGTTTTTCATACCTGGGCAAGTATATGAGGTCAGTGTATGATTATTTATCTGGAGATATACGTGTATGTTCGAGAAGGTGAGCGGGGGGGTTCAGCTTGGGCAGTTGGATCGTTTAGAAAGTCCCAGATGAGGATTGTGTCATCATGTGAACTACTGACAATCTGGAATTCGTCAAACTGGAGTCGGAAAACTCTTCCAGAATGCTCCTAAAGAAGCAGAAACAGAAACTTTTGAACTACTCAAAATCAAAAGGACGCAAGTTCAGCAACATGTCCAAAGGAGTCTATGGTAAGGCTATGTTATGCTGATCATTTTCTCTACCATTTAGCTGTTTCAAGAATACAGAGGAAAAAAACTTAATTTGGATTAAAGGCAGGATGGAAAAGTCAAATATTGGGCAGTTGACTTCATGCACAATCAAAGTAACAGTCACTAACACTGAGACATGTCAAATAGAGTGCTGGTTTCACACGGCTAACTCTCCTAGGCTTAGGCTAAACCAGACCATTACTCAGCATCTCCCTGGCTTTATCTTCTCTCTGTATCTCTAGGATTCTTCTACAATCAGAGGCCAAGGATTGATGTTCAGTAATAAGTGGTGTGCTGGTAAATGTTTATCAATTAACTCTTGTGACTTGTAAAAGCAAGCTATCTGTATGAGCTCAACCAGCTTGCAAAATTCATGACAATTTAATATCGGACTCTTCATAAGCTGTTATAAGCATATACAGCACCCCATTCCAGTAACCACCACCCTATACCTTCATCACTTAAGGCTTCTTATGCCCCTTACCAGTCAATACTATCTTTTCACCAATAGCATCATCAATTGACTCTTCCTGTTTTTCAATTTCATATAAACATACTCAAAACAGCATTCTTTTTCCTGGTTTCATTCACTCAACACTGTAGGATTCCTCTCTGTTACTGCGTGTAACAGTAGTTCATTTTTTAAAAACTACTGGTTGGTATTCCATTATATGAACACACTACAATTTTTAGTCTCCTGTGATGGGCATATAGGCTGATTACAGTTTTGGCTATTATAAATAAAGTCTCTATGAACATCTATGTTGATAGGCATATGCTCTCATTTCACCAAGGAGAACTTCTGGACCATGAAGTAGGTGTCCGCTTACTGTTAGTAGGCATGGCAAAACAGATTTTAAAGTTGTGCTCATTTATACTCCTCCCAGAACTCCAGTTGCTTCACATCTTCAACAAACTAACACTGTCAATCTCTTACACTTTGGCTATTTTGATAGATTTGTAGCAGTGTTTTATTGGAGTTTTAATTTGCATTTTTCTCTATGAAGTTGAAATAATTCCTTTCTATTCCGAGTTTGCTGAGAGTTTATCATGAATAGATGTTGGATTTTGCCACATGTCTTTTCTGCATCTATTGATATAATCATGTGAGTTTTCTTCTTTAGCCTTTTGATGTGATGGATTACATTAACTGATTTCTGAATATTATACCTGCTTTGTGTAAGTAGAGTAAGTCCCAGTTGGTTATGGTAAATTTTTTTATTCATTGTTGGATTTAATTTGTTAATATTTTGTTGAAATTTATCTTAATATAATTTACTTCATTTTATTGGCATATTATTACCTTTTAAATAACTTCAGAAATTTTCCTTATTATGAAATCACTAAACCTAAGGAGAGTAAGATCACACTTAAATCTGAAGCAAATGGTTTAAAATATCACCAAAAAATCCCACCTAATAAACTCATATTAATTATGAAATTGTGTGTTAGCCTATTAATTACATTAGTGTTTTAAAAATATTTTATTTTGAATCATGGTGAAAATCACATAACATTTACCATCTTATCCATTTTTAGGTATATAGTTCAGTAGTGATAAGTACATTCATTCTGTTGTGCAATTAATCTCCAGAACTTTGTCATAGCAAAACTAAAGCTCAATACCCAATGAACAATTTCCTCATTGCCCCATCCCTGCAACATCTGGCAACCACTCTTCTATTTTCTGTTTATATGTACTTAACCACTTTAGATACTACATAGTATTTGTTTTTTTTGTGACCGACTTGTTTCATTTAGAATAATATCCTCGAGTTTCATCTGTGCTGTAGCATATGACAGTATTTCCTTTCTTTTGAAGCCTGAATAATATTCTTGTGTGTGTGTGTGTGTGTGTGTGTGTGTGTGTGTGTGTATCACATTTTGTTTACCCATTCATCTGTTGATGGACACTTGAGTTGCTTCCACCTCTTGACTACTGTGAATAATACTGCTATGAATATGAATATGCAAATATCTCTTTGAGATCCTGTTTTTGATTTTTTGGATATACCGTATAATCAGAAGTGGGAGTGCTGGATCATATGGTAATTCTACCTTTTATATTTTGAGGAACTGCTATACTGTTTTCCATAGAGGATGTACCATTTTACATTATTTACAAGATGCAAATACACTCATAGATGAGCATCTGTGTGCATGAGACATATTGGTCTGTACTTTCCTTGTAATATTTTTGTCTGATTTTGGTATTAGGGTTATTCTGGCCTCATAGAGTAAGTTAGGAGGTATTCACTGTGCTTATATCTTCTGGAAGAGGTTGTAGAGAACTGGAATAATGTCTTCCTCAAACATTTGGTAGAGTTCACCAGTGAACTCATTTGGGTCTGTTGCTTCCTGTCTTAGGAGGTTATTAATTATTGTTTTAATGTCTTTAATAGGTATAGGCCTATTCAGATGATCTATTTCTTTTGATGTGAGTTGTGGAGGATTCTATCTTTTAAGGAATTGGTCCATTTCAAGGAATAGGGGTTATCCAGTTTGGGGCACAGAGTTGTGTTCATAGTATTTCTTTATCATACTTTTAATGACCATGAAATATGTAGTGATGCAAAGTTGTGTTTAACATTCAAAAATCAATGTAATAGTCCAATTAACAGAATAAAGGTAAAAATGTAAGACCATTTCAGTGGGTGTAAATAGGTGCAGGTAAGTGCTTTTGACAAAATCCAACTTCTCTTTCTAATAAAAACTCTCAGCAATCAAGGAACAGAAGGGAACTTCCTAATCCCTGATAATGTTTTTCTATGAAAAACCCATAGCTAACATGTATCTGTATACATGTATATATAAAATGGTGACAGATCAATGCCTTTTCCCCAAGATAAGGACATCCACTGTTATTAATTCTTTTGACCATTGCACTGAAAGTTTTAGCCAGTACAATAAAACAAGAAAAATAAAAGGTATACAGGTTGAAAAAAAAGTCAAAGTGTATTTCTATGTATTTGCAATAAACAATCCAGAAACTGAAATGTAAAAATCCCATTTACAAAGCATTAAAAATATGAAATACTTAGGATTAAATATGACAAAAAATGTATAAGATCTTTACACTGAAAGCTGTAAAACATTGCTGAGAAATTTTAAAAAGACCTAAACAAATGGAGAGAGATACACTGTTCATGGATCAGAAGACTCAATATTGTTAAGACATTGATTCCCTCCAATCCAAATTGATCTAGATTTAACAAAATCCCAATGAAAATCTCAGCATATTTTTTTGGGGGGGTGGGACCTACACTACTTGACTTCATGAGTTATTAAAAAGCGGCTGTAACCAAGATCGTATGATATTGGCATCAAGACAGACAGACCAAAAAAAAAAAAAAAAAAATCAATGGAACTAAGTCCATAAGTAGACACATATGGTCAATTAGTTTTTAAAAAAGCTGCAAAGGTAATTCAGAGGAAAAAGGACAGTTCTGAATAAATGATGTGGAATAACTGGATATCCATGTGAACTTTGAACCATACCTTGTACCATCCACAAAAGTTAACTAAAAATGAATCATAGACTAAAATGTAAAAACCAAAAATATATAACTTCTAAAAGAAAACACAGGGGAAAATCCTTGTGACTCTGGATTAGGCAAAGTTTCTTTTTTTCTTTCTTTTTTTAAAAGATATAATATCAAATAACACAAACCATAATAGACAAAGTTGATATATTGGGCTTAATCAAAATTAAGAATTTCTATTTTAAAAGATTTTTTTAAGGGGAATGAAAAAACAAGATAGGTATCCTGAATATGTAAAGAAATCTCAAACTTAATAATCAGGAAACCACTCAATTAAAAAAAATGGGCAAAAGATTCAAACAGGTACTTCACCAAAGTAGGTATGTGGATGGCAAATAACAAAACGATGCTCAACATTATTAACATTAGGGATATGCAGATTAAGACCACAATGAGCTACCATGAGACACTTATTAGAATCACTCAAATTAAAAAAGACTGTACAGTAAGTACTGGCAAGGCTGTGGAGTAACTGGAACTCTCATGCACTCTCGTACAATAATGTTAAATGGTATAACTACTTTGGAAAACAGTTTGGCAGTTTCTAAAGATATTAAACACACATTTACCATATGATCTAGCAATTCTGCTCCTAGGGTTTACCTAGGAGAAATGAAAGCATATGGTCACATAAAGACTTGCACATAATGTTTGCAGAAACTTTATTTGTAATAGCCAAAAATTGGAAACAATCCAAGTTTTCATCAACTGGCAAGTGGATAAATTGTGGTATAATCATACAATGGAATAATACTCAGCAATGAACTACTGATACATCAACAAGATAGGTGAATATCAAAATAATTACGCTTAATGAAAAGCAAAAAAAAAAAAACCCAACAACTCTTTTTTGATTCCATTAGTTAAACCCTAGAAAATGCAAACTAATAATTGACAGAAAGCAGATCAGTAGTTGCCTGGGGACTGGAGGGGTGGAGAGGGGGGAAGTAGGTGGAATGGGAAGAAGGGATTACATCAGGAACAAGAGGATAAGTTGATTGTCTTGGCTGAAGTGATAGTTTCATTGGTATGTACATATGTTACAATTAATTATAAAGTTATATACTTTAAATACGCCCACTTTACTGTATGTCAATTATATTTCAATAAATCTGTTTTTAAAAACCTAAGACAACTGAATAAATGAGGACAAGATTTGAAAACATTACAAAAAAATAACATGAAAAGATATTCTACATCATTAGTTATTACAAATGCAAATTAAAACTATAACCACTACACATTTAGTAAAACAGCTATAATTTAAAAAAAAAACAACCCCTGACAATACCAAGGGCTGTCAGGGATGTGGAAAAATGAGCCTCTCATACATTGTTAGTGGAAATATAAGGTGGTATGCATTTGTAAACTCCCAAAATGCCACTCTGAAAAGAACTTAGTCGTTCTTTTAAATATAAACATGCACTTATCATAGGAGCAAGAAATTGCTCCTATGCACTTCTAGGTGTTTACCCAAAAGAAATGAAAACAATAGGCACATACAAAAACCTGTGTGGGAACATTTTCAGTACCACCAAAAACTGGAAACATTCCAAATGTCCTTAAACTGGTAAATGAATAAACAAATTGGTTTATCCACAGAGTGGAATACTACTCAGCAATAAAAAAAGAACAAAGTACTAACATACGCAACAACATGGATGAATCTTAAAGTGATTACAAGCCAAAGGCAAAATGCTAAATACTGTATAATTTAATTTATGTGACATTCATAAGATAGCAAAAGTGCAGGAACAGAAATGAGATGAATAGTTGCTAGGGGTGATTCTATGGGACATAAATTTAGAGGGGTGTTGAAAATTTTCTATAACTTGATTATGGTATATACACATCTGAACGATCCATGTAAGTGCACTAAAGGGACTTCGTGACAAGATGGTAGCATAGGCAGACATGGCACCTCTTTGCACAACTCCAACAAAATTGCAACTAAAATATAGACCTATCATCACTAAGAACTGACAGAAATCGAGTTGAATGGAAGTCTGACAACTATGGAATTAAAGAAACCACATCCATCCAGACTGAGTGGACAGACTAGTGCTGTATCTAAGATTCCGTCAACCTGGGTAACACTGTTTGACCCACCTTGGAGATCCCCAGAGACCCTGCTGCACCCAAATTATGGGCCCACCCAAGCTGCTTTTCCATATGGATGGCTCATCTTGGCTCATGCTTCACAACTTCCTAAATTCTCTCAAACAAGCAACAGCTGGCCTCAGCCCCAGAACCGGAACTAGCAGCCTAGATTCACAGCTTGGCTTTGCCTGGGAATCTCCAAGCCCAGTACGAATAGCAGCTATCGCAGATTGCTTTATAACTTAAGCAGGGTGGTCCCAGGCAAAACACAGGTAGGGGCTGACCTTGGTATATACCACCCAGGAAAGCCCTGGGGCCAGCGCACTCAGTGGACAGCTACAGACCACAGTGGGGCACCAGCATCCTGCCCCGGCACAGCGGATCCCCTACGGAGGGCAGAGGTTGGTGGTCAGTGGTCAGAGCCAATCCTTGCAGCTGCCTGGCCTGGGTAAACCCCTCCCATGGATCTACCAACAGCAACCGATGCTCAACTACAAGAGGAGGATGTACTCAGCCCACATGAAGGGTGTACCGCCAGTATACAGCTTGGGTGATAGGGGAGGCTGTGCCACTAGACCCTATAGGACACCTACTACATTAGGCCACACTAACAAGACTCAGAGTCAAAGCAGCTCTACCTAATATAGAGAAACAAACAGAGGGAGGCTGCCACAATGAGGAGACAAAGAAACATGGCCCAAATGAAAGAACAGATCAAAACTCCAGAAAAAGAGCTAAATGAAATGGAGATAAGCAATCTATCAGATGCAGAGTTCAAAACACTGATTATAAGGATGCTTAAGGAACTTAGTGAGGACCTCAGCCATATAAAAAAGATCCAGCCAGAAATGAAGGATACACTAACTGATAAAAAGAACAATTTATAGGGAAACAACAGTAGAGTAGATGAAGCCGAGAATCAAATCAATGATTTGGAACAGAAGGAAGCCAAAAACAACCAATCAGAAGAACAAGAAGAAAAGAGAATTAAAAAAAAACCAAAACTGAGGGTAGTGGAAGCAGCCTGTGGGACAACTTCAAGTACTCCAACACTCACTTCATAGGGGTGCCAGAAGAAGAGAAAGAACAAGAAATTGGAAATCTATTTGAAAAAATAATGAAAGAAAACTTCCCTAATTTGGTGAAGGAAACAGACATGCAAGTCCAGGAAGCACAGAGAGTCCCAAACAAGATGGACACAAAGAGGCTCATTCCAAGACACATCATAATTAAAATGCCAAAGGTTAAAGATAAAGAGATGGGAGGAGGAGTGAAGGAGAATGGCTGAGAGGTGAGGGGATTAAGAAGTACAAATAGGGCCCTGGCTGGGGTGGCTCAGTGGATTGAGTGCCAGCCTTCGAACCAAAGGGTTGCTGGTTCAATTCCCAGTGCAGGGCACATGCCTGGGTTGTAGGCCTGGTCCCTGGTGGGGGGCGCGCGAGATGCAACCACACAGTGATGTTTCTCTCCCTCTCTTTTTCCCCTCCTTCCCTTCTCTGAAAATAAATAAATAAAATCTTTAAAAAAAAAAAAGAAGTACAAATAGGTAGTTACAGAATAGCTATGGGGATGTAAAATATTGTATAGGAAAGGGAACAAACCAAAGAACTTAATCACATGACCTGTGAACATGAACAATGGGGGGTGGACACGGGGGACTGCCTGAGGGAGTGGTAGGTGCAGATGGAGGAGAGCAAAGGCAGACAAATCATGACAACTGTAATAGCATAATCAATAAAATGTAATTAAAACAAAATAAAGTAGTACACTAAAAATGGACAAATTTTTCCATATGTAAAGTATGCTTTATTTTTTTAAAACATTTTTCCCCATTTAGTTTTTTCTTTTTTTTAAAGATTTTATTTATTTACTTTTAGAGAGAGGAGAAGGAAGGGAGAAAGGGAGGGAGAGAAACATCAATGTGCAGGAGATACATCGACGGACTGCCTCTTGCATGCTTCCTACTAGGGACCAGGCCCACAACCCAGTCATCTGCCCTGAAACTGGGAACAGAACCAGCAACCTTTTGGTTTGCAGGCCAGCACTCAATCCACTGAGCCACACCAGGCAGGTCTCCCCATTTAGTTTTCTTTGTTATTTTATTTATTTATTTTTTAGAGAGGGGAAGGGAGGGAGAAAGAGAGGGAGAAAAACATCGATGTGCAAGAGAAACACTGATTGGTTGCCTCTTGCATGCCCCAAACTGGAGACCAGCGACTGGGAATCAAACCAGTGAACTTTTGGTTTGCAGGCCAGCGCTCAACCCACTGAGCCACACCAGCCACGGCTGTAAATTATACTTTAAAAACCAGACTTACAGTAATGACAGTATGTATTTTTTTAAAATGTGTGAAATGTGAAGGTAAAGCATATTTGGAACTGAAAGAATGAGCTTTAAATCCAACAAGGAAGATAAAGAAATATGTCTCTCTTTTCCAGAGCAGAGACTGCCTACATGTTGAGCCCGGATTCAGAACACTGGGGCTTCAAATGCTTGCTCACATCTTTTCCCTGGCAAAAGACTCTGCCTTCCCCAGTGCCCCACCTAATCTTTTTCTAATGGAAGCAGCTTTTAACTTTAGGACATTTTCTAATCCAGGCCTTTGGCAAACAGCATGATGAAGAATTTAGTGCTTTCGAAAGTGACATTAGTCCTTTTGAGTCACTTTTTTTCAAAATGACAAGATGTTCAGGCAAGGGAGTATACAAGGAATAAAAAAGATGGGATTCAAGTTGCTGGCGGCAGCATGCCTTGAACAGTATGCAGAAATAGGGCCTGACCAGGGGGTTCATGCAGACTCCCATGGCACTTTTTGTAGGCACAGGTGTGCAGGTCCTCAGATTCTGGACAGGTTCCAGTTTGAGTAATTATGTTCCTTCTCCCTAAGTACCCCCTACTGTTTCTGGTGGATACAGAATTCTTATTCACTTCCTGTATTAAACTGATGTGTAGAGTTGCTGTGCAGCTGTTAAACAGCTGCCACATTTCTCTCCATATATAGTCTCTAAAGCACTTTTGGAAGAAAGGTGCTATATAAACATATTTTATTATCACGTATTAGTTGCCTTTCCACTTAGTAGTAGGTTTTGTGAGGTTCTAACTATCAAATCCAGATCTGTATTCTATAGCACATCACTGTTTAACCTCTTCTCCTTCCTACCCTCTAACCCCCTTTAAACAGCAAGACTTACCACAAGGGTCCGTAGACAGAGAGTCCCTGCAGGAGCCCGGGGGTCCAAAGCAGCTACAAGATCCCACACTTTAATTTTTCTAAAGATCAAAAAGGGGACAAAAGTCTTTGTTAAAAGCAAAAGTAAGGGAGCACAGGAAGAACAGAAAAAAGTCATGGCGATAAATATATATGGTGAATATAGTTTATATGATAAATGCAGCTCACAGGAATATATAAAAACTTTTTTATTTTGGAGACTTGGTTCTTATATTCGTTCTTGAATAGAGGTTATTAGTCTTAATAGGGGGAAATGGATGTGATTAACCTAAAAATGAGAAACAGGTTAGTTTTAACAAAAATGATAAAGATAGTGAATGGTAAAGTTACATCATACTTTGGAGCTAAGAGCATATTTTATACATTAGACCTTTTAATAATATAAGAGATCACTTAGACTAGAAGCCTATAATTCTGAGGCGTCTTCTTTTTTGGTCAGTTCTAAGAATGGCACAGGTCACATGTACCAGAGGACTGGGTCCATTTAAAGAATTCTGGAGGTTATATAAACAAATCCGCATATTTTGATTTAAATAAGAAAAGCTGAGCCCTTCCAAAAATTAATTACAGGTCATGTGTCCTCATGAAAAATAACAGACAAAACCCAAGAGAGGTGGGTACAGATCAAAACCATGGAAATGAGAAAACATAACCTTGGACCTGCTGGAACATGTCATTACATCCTGAACAATCTGCCAAGGGTATGAGAGTGATGGCTGACTCAAAGCAGAAGAGACAGGTCTGCTACACTTCCTGCCACTTGAACCATCTTAATATATCAGTATAGCCAGTTCATATGCTAAGATAAAGTTATAAAGTTAGTTTCTGATATTTAAAAAGCTGCCAATATGTGACTGTAGCTCTGTACTCCCCCAAATCAGGTACCTTGACAAGACGAAATGATAATGAGGCCTTCACAAGCAAATATACTTTTGTAAGAATTTACTCTGTGCTTGGCATTGCTAGACTTGGGGTCCATCCACAACATGAATGGATTCTATACACACTGGAAATTAGACTGAATAAAATAAAGATTGTTGAACTTATTGTAACTGAAATGTTAGAAGTGAAGGGAGCTGTACTTTCTGGAATCATTCAAAGGTATAAAAATTTAAGATCCTACCATACTAAGCCTCATAAATATCACTCTCCAATGTTTTAATTTATTAGTAAATCACTGTTTTATATGCATATCTTGTTATACTGGATTTGTCCAATTCTTTGTAGTATAGGGAAAAACAGACAAATATATAACCAAAACCCTCATACCAATAAAAGTCATGAGTAAGCAAGTGCAATTAAAAAATTGGGAAGAATATTTTGCAAAAGAGTAAACAAAAGAGAGGTGAACACCTAGATTTGACAAAAGAGCTGTTGTATTGTGTCCGTCTATAATTTAGAGATAGGGAAAGGCTAATTTAACATCCTGAGGCAGGGGGGATTCAGATGTAAATGCGAACTCACCCATCATAGGCCCCACTAACTATCCTCTTGTTATCAAATCGAATACAGCGCACCAATTCCTCATGGCCTTCTAATACTCGTAAACATGCACCACATTCTATGTCCCATAATCTGGAAAAGAAAATTGAGTCAAGTGAATTTTCGCTTATTCTTTCTGAAGGTTGGAATGTTAAAATACTATACTTCCATGTTTTTTTAAAAAATCCACAAAAATAGAATAAATCAACACCCAACAAAAATGTACTGCTTTCAATGTAATTTATTTCCTATCTGCCATATAAGTCAGGTAGAAATATGTATGATTTAAGTTCAAAACAGTATATATTTTCAAAGCACAATGTTTTATACAATTCTGTAACCAGGGTCTCCAAGGCATAAAAAGGATGAATTCAATGCACATAGCTGCCTGTGAAGAAAATGACCAGCTAAGAAAAGTAATGCTTCCTGAAATCACCAATAAAAATGAGATGAAAAAGGCAGGGAGAGCCCGCCCTCACAGAGCACGCCTGCCTCTCTCACTGAGGACACTCTCTGCTTTCACCTGCTGGCGAGGGCAGTCTTTCTTATATAATGGTAATGCAAAGTAAGTTCTCAAAAACTTTTACATAATAATATACAAAAACTATATGCTTTCAGACCAATCCAAATGATTTCTAGGAATGATAATCTCCTTAGATACAATAGCTCTATCTGTTGTTTCTTTAAATGGCGTTTTCATCCTGTCAGTAATTCTTTGAAGGAATAGAGAGGATTGATAAATCATCCAAATACAATTCATATCTGTGTCGTTCATTTTCATGAAGAGAAAACACCAGAAATACTTCAGTTTGTGAATTCTTTATCATTTCAAAGACTGGTAACTCTCTGGCCAATTAGGCAATGCTAAGAAAACAAAATGCACACTTTCTAGTAGGGAAACAAATTTTGTTTCTTTTTTTTTTAAAACAGTGGCAGAGAGAAACGGCCTTTAGCTATTTGTTAGCATTTTCCATGTAGACAGGTGAAATTTAAAGAGAAAGGCTTTCAACCTGAATCTACTTAACTCTCTTGCCCACTTCCTCATTCAGGCAGTACCTATTAAATAGGTCTATCCAATGATAAAACTATTATAGGAAGGAAACACATCAACAAAAGGCTATGCTGTGCTGCCTGTCTGCTTGGGGCAAACTTTTGACCTCCGAGAAGCTACAGAAAGGAAAAACATTTTATTATAAACATAACACAGTCGAAGATTTGTTTGAACTGCGCACAGAATGAATGGCAGGATAATATTGATCCCTTCTGGGCAAGGGCACCAGCCGCTCACCTGATAGTGTTGTCAGATGAGCCACTAACGACCAGCCTGTCTCTGTACTGCAAACAGGCGATGCCGCGTTTGTGTCCATTTAAGGTCCTTACAAATTCACAAGTACTTGTGTTCCATACCTGAAACAGAAAACGGCATTTGGCAACTGATTTATGCTTTCACTAGTTAAACACAGGGCAAGTGGAGTCTTGGAGAAGCAGAAAACAGGACTGAACCAAATCGACTTCTCAAAACAAACCAAACCAATGACAAGTGTGAATCACAGTAACATGGGGCTAATTTGCAGCTCGCTGCTATAATATGAGGATTCCTCAGATTGATTTACTCTCATGGTGTTAATCTGGTCTTACAGACAAATTTTCTTGAACCTAAATTTACCGCTGCCTTTTTTACACTCATCATTATTTATAGCACCAGTTGTCAATCTTTTTCATCTCATGGCACACAAACTAATTACTAAAATTCTGCAGCACACCCAAAAAATATTTTTTATGACCCGACAATAAAAAATTGGTATAATTTTGATTCATATTGAATCAAAATTATGGCTATTGTTGTGTTGGCTATTGTCATTTTTTAATTTGATAATTTAAGGGAAAAGGGGTCAGTCATCCTGATTAAATAGTCAGGTATTGCATGTTCTAAAAATTTTTGTGGCACATGGTTGAAAATTGCTGATTTATAATAATAAAATACCTAACCAAAATTGTCATAGAACTTCCCCTGACTGGTATAGCTCAGTGCCATCTGGCATCGTCCCACAAACCAAAAGGTCACTGGTTAGATTCCTGGTCAGGGCACATGCACGGGTTGCAGGCCAGGTCCCCAGCTGGGGGCATGTGAGAGGCAACTGATCAATGTCTCTTGCACGCAGATGTTTCTCTCCCTCTTTCTACCTCCCTTCCCCTCTCACTAAAAATAAATAAATAAAATCTTTAAGAAAACATTGCCACACAGATTGTCTCATTCATTACCTTTTTACACACAGACTAGTATATTAATGAAATACTAAATTAGCCTACAGTGGTGTTTCAATATGAAATAGTCCTTGGTCAGGTTTTCCCACATGAATTCCCCTAAAGTTGGGGACTTACTGAAAATGTCTTTTACCTTTATAGTCCTATCTCCAGATGCAGAAACAATGTATTTGTCGTCAAAGTCTACAACATTGACGGCCGCTCGGTGTCCGACTAGCACCCTCCGGAGGGTGATGTCAGTTGGGGAGGCCATATCCCATACAGCAATGGAACGGTCCTTGGAGCAGGTCACCATCATGCCATTATTGAAACGCAAGTGCAGAACTGCTTCACAATGATGAATCAACGTGTTTAGCATTTCACCTGTATTTACATCCCACACTCTGGAACAAACAACATTAAGAAGGCTCTCTGAGATTTTGATGGTACTGATGCTACGATCTATGACCAGTGTTTGATCACTGCTCTTCCCACCCCTCCTGCTCCATCTTCATAGGGAGTGCTACACCCTACCCTTCTTCTGCAGCTTAGAAGCTGAACTGAGGTACAGAATACAGGTGGACCACAAGGAACTGGTAGGTAGAGGGCTGGACTGGGAAGACTGGGAAAAGGAAGGAGATGGGATGCCGCCAATGTGAAATGCTTAAGGCGCACTATTTGAAATGTGGGCAAGTGTGAGGAGTAGGAATGAGGTAGCAGCCACCATCACCTACTCCTTGGATCCAGATCTCAAGATTATTATAAAACTTCTGACACTCAACCTGATGTCATCGATAAGATACGTTTAAAACTGGGAATCTGATTAATAATAGGAGCATTAGCGTCCTATGGATAGCCCTCAGAAACTAGAACTGATACAGGCCAAGAAGCTTCCATAACAGGCTGATTTAGTTAGTACTATGGATTTGAGTTTGATGATTCTGGATCTTGGATTTCACCACAGAGGTCAAAGCCCAAGGTTACCAGACCCTAAGCCTAAGACCTCACTTCTGTGCTTTGAATGGGGGTTGGGATCAAGAATAGCTACCCACTGTAAATATGGGCATCACAGCAGAGCATGGGACCCTTGGATAGCATGAGAATTTTGTGTGATGAGATACAGTATTTGACTTTGATTACTCTATTTTTGTATATTTACTCTGGCTTTTATAACACATTTCCTTTTCCAGTTTAACCCCCTTTTTCAGAAAATCATTTTTTCCTTTTTCCTATATATGATGATAGCCTCTACACTGTCTCAGCTTCCTTGAGGCACTCTACATGCACCAATAAATGTTAAATGTCGATAACTGTAAGAACTGAGTTTGCAATGCCTTTAAGTCAAAAGACAAGAAACAAGAACAGCCTTTTCTATTCACAGAGGATAACTGGGAATGGTAAACATTTAACTTCAGAGAATCTAACAATGCAGTCAACTGCTTTTTCCCCCCTACTTTAAAAAAAGTTACTTTTCATGCATTATGTTTGCTAAATTCTTTAGCTCGAGGCAAAATTCCTAACAGAGGTTTCCAGCAGTGCTTCTGGTACCCAGAACTCAAGCTACACTGGACTCCAGCAGCATAATGGCTGTGTCATCAAATCACTAATGCCTCTGGAAATTGAAGGCCCCTCCCTGAGTGAAGCTTGCAATTAAAAACTGCAGGGACAGCAGGGGAGGGGTTGGCAAAGAGAGCGCCGCTCACCTGCACACATTTTCGAGGAGAGAACGCACGCCTGCGCTGCGGCTATAACTGCCTGAAAGGCAGGCTTCGTTCCTGTCATGTCATTCCCTTGTGAAGTGGTTTTTGTAAGGAATGCAAGGTTTACCAAGTTTTTATAATGGATGATTCCCACAAATTAAAATAGACCGTGAGGTTTCTTAAATGTACAAAAATGTAAACTTACCTTAATCATTCCTAATTCAAGTTTTCTAGTTCTAGATTGACACAGTGATGGGGGGAGCTGATGGTTTATTCTTCTTTAGTTATGAAGTTTCAGAACTGTGTTCATGCAGATATATACAGTTACTATCTATGACAAAGAACAGAGCGGATCTGGTATTTCAGAGTTCAAAGGATCATTTGAAATTTTCTACCTGACCGTGGAATCCGATGATCCAGTTATGATCACCCTCTCGTCATACTGGAGACACAGGACAGAACCCGTGTGGCCTGTGAGAATTCGCTTGCATTCCAATGTGCTTTTATCCCAGATCTAGGATGGCAAACAAGATCCTTTTGATCACTGTGATAATGGGGTGCTGCAGAGACTTGCTGGCTCTATTATGTGTTTGATTCCCCCAAAGAATCAAAGCCTGGAGTAGTGTGGAATGCATTCTTTTCTCTAGGTATAGCTAAGCGCCTATGTATATGTGGCTTCGGTACTAATGCAGACTTTATCCTTTTCATTAAGGAATAGGGGGTAGCCTATAATTATGTGAGGGCCCAGAGTAAGAGCCCATTCAGTGCACTTCAAGAGGAGAATTTAGCAATCTATTTGGATGCTCTTCTGGGGGAAGCAGGTATCTGTCCTTTGGGGAAATGATTTTGGCTTTGGGACTAGAGACAATCTAAAATGCTCACTTACTTCCTGGAAATAATACTTAGAATATGCTTTGGATAGTTTTATGAATGTGGTCACTCTCGCTTCTTCAGCTACCTTCCCACAACGGAAGAAAACTCACCTTGATAGTGTTGTCTCGAAGGCCGCTGACTATCTTTTGATCATCATACTGTAAACAGTAAACTCCTTTGCTTGTTTCACTTCGGCAGTGGATTCTCTGTAAACTATGTCTTCCACATCTCCAATTAGATTCTATCGTCTGAGAAGAAGGAATGGTAAAGAGGCAGTAATTAGGAAGGGACCAGAAATAAACTCTTATCTGTCATTCATGGCAACCGATGATATATGCTCAATGCTTCACTCTACTGACTATATAGAACTTAAGGCAAACTAAAAACTTGTTTTAAAAAAGCCACTATTGAAAATTATAAAACATTTTTCCATTTGTAATTAAGCATTTATTTCCTAGAATTCTCCTGCATATAATTCACTCAATTAAATACTAAACCCGGTGGAAAGAGAATGCTCACCAACAGAGGGCAAACTACGAGCCCCATGAGCTTATGTACTCAGGGCTCGCCCTACCTATGTGGTGGCCATTCCTACCAGTGACCTTCCATGGAGGCTCAAGTCAGAAGATAGATATCTGAGTATCAGGTTAAGAGAGCAACTTTAGCAGTCTCACTGCTGCTACATAAAGACATCGTAGTCTTTCTCTCTGATCTATGCATCAGTGAACAACTTTTAAGCACAATATACTATATTTTACTTACTCCGTTCTTTTACAAAGAAACTGTTTTTCAACCCATATCAATAAACCTTAACAGGTTTGCTGTAACAATGCTGTTACTGAAGAATGTTGTTGGCTCTCTAATATTTGGTAAATATCCAAATATACATAGATTCTTACCTCAATGTCTTGTATAATTTTAGGATAAAGTGCTCTGTAAAAAGAGTTGGGAGGAGCATTCCCATCAGGAGGTTTATTTTTGAATAAATATTGTCCCCTAAAAAACAACAAATATTTCCCAATAAAAATCACAATATGGATTCGCAAGGAGCTTCATATTTCTTCAAAGTATTTTCACAATTACCATTCCAAACAGTCTCCATAACTAGCCTAGAGAGGTGTGAAGTTAAGTCCAATTTCAGGAGTTCCACCTCAAGGGGTAACTTTCCGGGCTCTAAGGAACTGGGCCGACATTGATTTGCTTTCGTGTGAAACATAGTGATTGATTTCCATTGTAGAATACGTGAGTATCAGGTCTTCAGGAATATTATAATGTCAGATAAATGAAATATGTTTAATCAGAATTCATCCACGGGTCTGTCAGACCTCTGGATTGACAGATTGACTGGCCTTATGTTTTGAAAATGTTGTTTGTGATGGTAACTACTACCTTTGAACCAGGTGCAGGCCCCTCAGTCTTTTCTTGACTGAGGAAAACTGCTAGTCAGTGGAGCCTGGCATGGCAGGAATGCCTCACTGTCATGGAGAATACCTTTTTTGTTTTCATTTATGTGGGTTAAGGTGTGTTGGCAACTCAGACACCCAGGTTGCTGGTTGGTGATCAGTGTAGCTATGTTTTAAGAGGAGCAATTCAGTTCATTTGCACAGAAAACAAAGGGATCACAGGAGTGTTCCAAAGCAGGTATGGAAGAAGATAAAAAGAAATGCCTAAAAGCACTGTGCCGTCAAGTCTAAGGCATGAAGCTGACTTGCACAGGTGTGTTCCTGGCTATGTACATACATACATGCATTTTACTGCCTTTCCCTGATTCCAGTGAGCAACATTTGTTAGCATCTCCTTCCTTATGACAGCACATGTTTGGAATACCCATATCCCAAGCTAGATCTTTGCTACAAAAAAAAAATCAGTAAATGGCAATCACTTCCTGCTGGGTAAAAAATTTAATTCCTTATCCTGAAGTTAAGAACCCACCAAACACGGTGTGGAAGCTAGTAAACCCCACTATGGGTGTACTAACTGCTGTTCTCACTGGCACCGTGCCTTGCAAAGTGGAGATAGGCAGAAATGCCTCTGAGTGTAATCCTGGCACCAGAGAAATCATGTTTTCTCTGGGCCAGTCATCCACTCTTCCCTCTATAGCTCCATTACAATATAATTAATTGTTCGATGTCTCCAGGAGCGCTTCTCCCCTGCCCTCTTCCTATTACACCTTGAAAATTAGTTGAGAAAATTTCCTATCAGGAAGGTAGCTGCCGGCTCTGACTTGTGTGTTAATATGGAAAGGGAAATCTGCAATGGAGCCTTGGCTGGTGTGGCTCAGTGGATTGTGTGCCAGTCTGCAAACCAAAGGGTCACTGGTTCGATTCCCAGTCAGGGCACATGCCTGGGTTGCAGGCCAGGTCCTTTCCCTCTAAATCAATCAATCAATAAATCTTTTTAAAAAATCTGCAAAGGGGAAGCTAAAATAATAGTTTTTAAAAAGGGACAAAGAAGCAAGCAACAGGATACACCAACATAAAGAAAAGGGCTAAACAAGATATACTGAAATAATTCTGGCTTAAGAGTACTCTTCTCTAAACAATCTTACTCTAAAAACACATTGCAGACAAACAACAGATTTTGAATGAAGAGATCCTAAATCTGGCTAATAATTATAAAAATTTCAACCTCAACATCATTTAATGAGGTAGGAATCACTATATTAATTTTATAGATAAAGAAATCAAAGGTCAGGGAGGTTAAGTAACTTGCCAAGGTCACACAGCTAGTGTGCAGGGCTGAGATTTGAATCTAAGTCTGACTTCAGGTCCCACACTCTTTAACTACTTTGATGTCTCCCTCAGTGCCCACTGATCCTCAGCGATTCCTGTCCTCCTTTTAATCTCTGGCAATTATACACAGACACCCTAAGATTTTCTTCGTAAGCAATGAAACTATCTCTACATCCCAAGGAAAGAGAAATCATATAAACCTTAGATCTCATTTTCTACTGCACTGTAGCTACCATGACTTGCTAAAGTATCTGAATTTCTTCAAATCAAAGGTACTACAAAAAAAGGTGGCTAGGTATTAAAAACGGGTTTCTCAGTCCATATGTATAAGTCAAAACCTTTTACAATGGAAGCTCTTTGACAACAGGGACCACTGCTATATGGAAAGGGTAGAACCTCTGAAAGTGTGAGTACTTGATAAATGCTAAATATTAAACTCAGAATGTATCATAAAATGTGATCTGCTGATTAAGAAAATGGACTTTTCCCAAGTTGTCTTTTATTATACTTTTAAGAGTTACCATTACTGAACACAGAGGGCATATTCAGTATTATTTGAGAAAATGACAAATTCATGTCATAGAGTAAGACTGTCAAATTCATCTAGATATAAATGACAATAGCAAAGTGGAAGTTAAACTCAAAGCTTTATTAGAAAACTGTACTTACTTATTTTTGGTTGGAAGAAGTGGACAGAACTATCAATGACAGCCTTTGGGGAAAGGTGTAACAGAAAGACTTTACTGATATAGTAGGCATGGTCAGATAACTTGAAAGAATAAAATGAAACGAAAGACTGATTATAGACTGTATTTTTAAAAAAAGTGTGAGGAGGACACTTAACACAGGAAGAAAGGCAATATGTAAAAACAGAAGCAGCCACAGAAACTCTTGGGCATCCTGGCCAAAGGTCTTCATGGGGTAGACAAATATTTGTAATTTCATGGGGCTGTATCAAGCTAATGTGATAAATATGACCAAAAACAAAGGAACATAGCCAGAACTCTGACAAATACTCAAAAGAGCAGGAGTGGGTTCCTATGGTTGAAGAAATGGGGGAAAGTGAAAACTAGAGCTGGATCCTGGATTATTTCTCAGCTATACCTTCGCATACCCCTTTTAAAAGGCCAAAAGACACCTCTTCAATGATCTTTTTTTTTTCCTTTATAGCTTACAGAACAGATCTTTATGTTTAGTGTCAATCCTAAGCAAAATTGTGAAGCCTGTGTTTTATCTTTGGCATTTTCACATACATCTGCCAAAATCTGCCCATGTATTTCTCGTTCTATCTTCAAAAAAGACTTTGTAAACTCTCAATGCCTGATAAGGGTTCACTGTCCTTTACAGTCGAAATGGGAACTAAGTGTACTTTAACAGAGAACAAGACCTTTGTAGCTATGGGAATGAATCTCTATAACAGAAATTCCAGGTCAGGAGTTATTTGGAGGAGAGTTTGTTTTCTTTTTTTCTCCCCCCTGAGGGGTAGAGAAACATTCCTAGCTGCCCTAAAATTTTCCCATGTAAGCAACTTACCTGTTCTATTTGTAAGGCTGGTCTTGGCAAGCTTAACAAAATGATAGACTTTGAATACCATATAACTATATACTATTTTGCTTTTTCCCCTACTATAAAGAGTTTATTTCCAAAGTGTGAAACAAGTTATGCTTTCATAAGGTTTCTATTTTTCTATGTCATGAAATAAGTGATGACAAAAAAACATTTGGGAAGGAGACATAACAATAAACTTTCATTGATACAATTTTTAAATAGCCTTGTGTTAAGCTTCCTTTAATTAAATTTGAGAGAAATTTTAAAGTCTTTCTAATAGCCAGAATGACAGAAATCTTTTGCAGCACTTGGTATAATATTTACAGGCCATTTTGTTTATTCCATATTAATTAATTTCAAAGATAAAAAAAGAGAGCCAATGATATTTTTATGAAAAGTGCTAAGAAAAGCTGACCCTCCATTCTGAATTGTTTTGTAAATCTCTATGATCCAAGATAAACAACTGGTAAAATTAATTGCTTGGATAACACTGAGCATACATATACTTGCTGGTGCATACCTATCAGCTAAAATACTTAATATGTCACCTTTATTTTATGGAAATATTCACACCTGACTTTCTTAGAGTGACATTCTAGAGGCATCCTCTGAGAGAAAATTATATATAGAAGACATCTTCCAGAAGTTCTAATAAAATGATACCATTAAGTTAAGAAAATAACAAAACTGCTTAAGTCTCAGGCTGCTAACTATGTAATGCCTTAAGGAATTTAAGATTAAGCAGTAAAATCTTGAGAAAATATAAAAAGTCTTTATGAAGAAACAATTATTTACACCAAATTCCATTTTTCATTTTCTGATGGCTATAGTTTTTATTCTAATTGGACATAAAAAGAATTTTGATTACAAAAGTGATAAAACACCACAGGCATGGGCTAAAGGCAAGGAATCTTCTAAAGGAGAAAATTATTTTTCCTGGACTGTTTTAGGGGAAAGCTAAATCTGATGGCCTCTTGGTGATTCAAAGTCATCTACTTGCCTTATAAATTGCCCCTCAGCCCTTTTTCAGGATACTGTTTCTGCCCAGAGAACAGGATATGCTTTAAACAGGAGGCCTCATCAGTTTTTCATTATTTTTTTGCAAAGCGGTATTAACACATTATTATGTCATTTATGTGTGATTGGTCAGAAGAAAAACTGCCGAGTATATGAACAATTATTTGACTTTTTTTTTTGCTATAAACTAGCAAAATCACTGTATTAAGTGAAAAATGGAAATTGTTTTCAACAATATTCCAATGACTGAGTGGCCAGGTCCTGAAGCTCTACAATAGTAAAAAAGTTAAAAGGCTCACCACCCTCTTCGTTCTGCCAGGCCTCTCCACAGAGAATCTGTCCTGACCATTCTCTCGATGAGCTTTTTCCATAACATGCCATCAGATGTCACTCGGTACCATTCCTTGCACACAAGCTCAGCAGCACATAGAGATTTGGCATCCAGGTATGACAGAATGTTCTCAGCAATGTGATCCAAACCCCGAGCTTTTGGTGGAGAGAGGGGGCAAAGAAGAACAACACAGGTGGTGAATGATTTTTTACAAATGGCTCTTTAAAACAAGACAGCATTTATTCTATAGAGGCACATTACTGTTTCTGTTGCGGTCCAGTTTCTTTTTCAGAGACTTGGGTCAAATGAGTGTCAATAATTTTTCCATAAGGTTACAGAAATGAACAGTATTTTCTATCTTCCTTTAGATAAGGAAGTTAAAGCTAACATCCAGCAAACCCCCCAAGACATTAAAAATAAAAAGGATTTCAGAAAACAATTCACATCTATCTGTATGGATTTCAGCACTAGGGGATGTTCTATGGATGGCATCTCAAACTCTGTGATTCAGACCCCCCCAAATCTCTATATTAGGTCCATTTCTCATTCTGTTTCTATTACTGCTGCAGTTCCAAAGCTGTTCAGTAAAAGAAATATCTTTTAAATGTACTGGGGGAGAGGCACTAAGTCAGAATGTGCTGGGTTATAGAATTTTGGGCATGCAGAAAGGAGAGAAGAAGGAAATACAGATTGGTATAGGAATATCCCGAGAGGGAAGACAGAGAGGTATGTTTAAGTTCAAGGATGAGTTTAATTTCAGATGTTTAAAAAAAAAAAAAAAGACTATTTGAGAATAGTTGCTGCTATAAAAACTAAATGACAGTTGACCAAAAATGAAAAAAAAAAAAAAAAAATCCCAGACCAATAGATAACTTGGTTAGAATTTCAGAGTCTATTTTGTAGGATGTACAGAAAAAAAACAAACAAACCAGTGGAAGTAGATCTTGAGCTGCGTAAACTAGATGGGCTTCCCAATTAAAATTCTCTACCACTCAAATCTCTGCTGAGGCCTCAAAGGAATAGATCCTATAAAATAGGATGATCGCACTAATAAACCTTTTGGCTGCTGTTCTAATTCACAAGTGAGACAAAAACATTCAAGGTTATTTCTCTTTACGGATTACATGTTGAAGGTTTGCTAAAGACTTAAACAGTGCAGAAGGGCTCCTTCAAACTCTGACTCCCTTAGGCACAAACTTAATAAACAGAAAAGAATACCGCATTTCATTTTGTGCCTTCCTCCTGAATCATACAAAGACACACTTGGACATCATGAACAACAATCCAAATGTGTTTAAACATTATTCTAATTATAAAGATTGTATGGATATTAGTCACATTTTTCAGCAGATTTAGAAAAGAAAGCATTAAATGAATCTTGTTTGGCTGGCATCACATGTTCATATTTAAGCATAAGCAGATGGAGGCATCCGTCACCTCATTCTTATTAAAGGAACATGATTATAAGCCAATTAAAGATATAATAATTAGTTCTTCATGCAAAATACAGTGATGATACAAATTCTGCATCTTTATACTGAAACTTTCTATACAATCAGAAGTTTCCAAAATCTATTCCTGTGTTTTTAAGGGCTGCCATCAAATTGCCCCTGATCTTTCACAATGTCCCTATATAAGTCTTTGGAAGTAATTTCACCTAACACTCCCAACAAACCCATTACATTAATGGATTACAGGCATTTTTTGAAGTAGTTTGGTTTACTAAATGTAGCCAGATGATGTAGGTGTATAAGATAAAATGGACGTAAAGTATTAGACTGATGATTTAATATCTTATAAAGTGGTCAGCAGATACACACCAGGGATCAGTATTAGGTAAATGGATACAGCGGTCTAATCAACTCCTGTTCAATACTTAGCGGTATATCCTTGAGACAGTAACACGTCTCAGTGAATGGGCAGAGTACAGTAATGAGGTACACACAGGTTGTTCACACAAAGAAAACTGTTTGCCTGTGGCTAAAAAAAATCCGATTAGTGAAGAGGGGGCAGAATTCTCTTCTATTTAACAAAAGATACAGGTACAAATTCAGCTTAAAAAGGGTTACTTCTAAGTTATACACAGGCATTTCTTTTGTATTAAAGGGCAATTTAAATCAATTTTGGAAAAACAAATTTTTTTAAAAAGCTGTAATTGGCAAAGACTAAGCAAAGTGGTAATAAGCAGTTTTAGGGAAGGTATAAGTTGGTATATTTTCCTCAGACAATAGTTTGGCACATGTGATAAATGCCTTAAAATTCTCATCATTTTTTTTAATATAGGAATCTCACTTCCGGTATTTTTCCCTAGGATGCCCAAAAGATTACTGACTAAGAATGTCCACTACAGAATAGTTTATAATAGGAAAAACATTTTAAACTACCTTAATGTTCAATAAAGAGATTAAATAATATGTGTGTTAACCATCACAAAGAATTAATCCTATAAAGGTATGTGTTTGAAGAACAAATACTTAGAAAATACATTAAGAGAAATTCTAAGAAAAAAATGTTACAAACACTGAAGATCTCAGCTTTAGAAGGAAATACACATACATGCCTAGAAATAACAAGAGGGCTACATGCCAAACTATTACTAGCACATCAATAGTTCTCTTTGAATGGTGCGGCTCTGGGAAATTTTATTTTTATATTTTAAACTTTGCCTATGTCATGTCCTAGATTACCACCAGGCATTCAGTAAAACAACCAGAGCACCCTCCAAAGCAAAGTATTTTAAGTCTGTATGTATGTGTGCACGTATGGATACTTAAGTGTGTTCATATATACATATATGTATACACATATACTGAAATATGCGATTTAAAACGCGCGTGCGCACACACACACACTTTACAATAGCTATTTGATTACTGTGTACAATAAGACTGTAAAGCCTGGAATTTACATCCTGAGATACTCTCTAACATACTGAAAAGCGTTTCTTATTCATCCCTCTAATTTAATTATTCTAGGAGAGTTGATAAACTCTCTTAGAAATCCAAAGCCAAGTATAACAAATTAACATATCTTGAAACTAACACACATCTCGAACCAGAAAACACCTTAGAAAAGATGCAGTTGACTGGCATGTGGGTAAAAAGAGGGAAGATAGGGAAAAGAGGAGTTTCTGTTTCCAGAGTTTGATTTTTTTGTATTTATATTCCAAGAAGGTGCAATTAAAGGACTCAGTTTGTAAAAATCAAGCCAATAAAGACTTTTAAAAACAGAGATGTACAGCTGAAGATCCAGTACCATTACCATTGTAACATATCTTCCAGGCAAATTAATGGCTCACAAACACTCGTAGACATACCTGGCAAAGCAGTTATGAAATCCCTCTGCAGCATAGGTTTAAGATAAGAGTTTATGTGCCCATGTTGGTAATGACACATTTGGGATATAAGATGTTCCACAAATTCCACTTGATCGGACTCTGACCACTGCTCAAAATACTTGACACACAGTTCCTTCTCCTTCTCATAGCTTGCCGAGAGTTTCCGCTGCTTGGGCACAATCATGCTGGAAGTGCCATTGGCGAGTTTTGTCTGTAGAAGGGGTGGATTAAGAAAAACATAGTATTGAAAAGGAGGGAAATATATAATTTGCTGGTCTTGCATGCTATGTTATGTCTGTATGACGGAGCTCACTCTGTTACCCTATTAGTAATTGAATGTTTATAAATAGCAATTACAAGGAAAACCACAAAAATACCATAGTAAGTTGGTAAATTGGAATACTGCCGTATGACTAGGCACCCATTTCCAAAAGTTCACAGGAAGACATCATTTGGAGATATACAGATGAAGACCAAAAGCTGAAAGCATGTTAGGTTAACACTAGCAAGCAAAAAAGCTAATTTGCTTTTTCTTATATACACAAGTTACTAGATGTTTATACAATTACTGACAACTTATTTTCTTAATAGTCAATTCTCCATACAAAGAAAGGCCAATGAATAATTTGAGATGCTGGTAAATTTGGAGCTAAAGCTTAAATAACATTTATATGCTTCATCTACCCATTCCTTCCAAAAATTCTCATTTCCAGTGTTATCAAAATTATATGCTATTGCCTTCACCAGTGTGGCTCTGTTGGTTGTGGCACATACCCCAGTTCTGGTTCGGTCACTGGTCAGGGTATGTATGGTAGGCAACTGATCGATGTTTCTCTCTCACATCTGTTTGTTTCTCTCTCCCCCGACCGTTCTCTCTCAAATCAATAAATGTATCCTTGGACAAGGATTAAAAAATATGCTATAAAGTCTTTTTTATTAATTGGTTTAGTCAATAACTATTAATTGAGCATTTACAATGTGTCAAACACTGTCCTAGGTGCTAAGAATAAAACACTGAGCAAAAACAACACTCTCTATCATTGGGGAAACTGATATTCTAGTATGTATGGTAAGTTAAAAACATAACCAAATACACAGAAAATATAATGTCTATAATGCTATGAAGAAAAATAAAGCAGGATAAGGGAACACACAAAATTTCAAGATGATCCTAAGATTCTTGGCTGCTGGTGTACACACATCTTCTCTCAGTTTTTCAAACAAACATGTAGGTACTGCTGTGATTTAATTAAGGTCCCAAATTACTTGACCTTAAGGTTAGGTGATTACTCTGGTGGATCTGACCTAATCAAATAAGCTCTTTAAAGCAGAGTTTTTCCCAACTGGTTGCAGAAGAGGAAGGAGACCATGTGGCAAGGAATGCAGTCAGCCTCTAGGAGCTAACAGCCAGCAAGGAAAAAGGGACTTCAATTCTACAAAGGCAAGGAACTGAATTCTGCAAACAACAACGAGCGGAGAAGACAATTTTCCTCCAGAGTCTCCAGATGAGAAGTCAGCCTGGCCAACCCTTGATTTCAGCCGTGTGATACACTGAGCCAAGGGCCCAGCCATGCATTGCCAGACTTCAACCTACAGAACTGTGAGTTAATGGATTGGTGTTGTTTTAACTTCCTAAGTTTGCGGTAATTTGTTATGCAGCAAGTAAACAAAACAATATAGTTATTTAAGTCTAAGGGATCAGAGATAGTTTTCCTAAAGATGACACTTGAACTGAAACATGAAGGAAATAGGGAACTGGACATTTTATTACATGGGGGAAGAATGGTCTAGGAAGTGGAAATTTTGAGAGCAAAGGTCGTGGGTGGCAGTCTGCCAGGCATGCTCAAGGAACAAGAAGGCCCAGGGAGCACGGAGAACTGAAGTTGGGTAAGTAGTCTGAGCTAGATCACGCAGGTCATTTAGGTGGTGGTAGCTAATCTCCAAAGAGGACTCCAAACAACTCCATTCCTCCCTGAACACAAATGCTGTTTCTTCCATCAAGAGGCCAAGTTTGTCCTAACCTTTGAATCTGGGCTTTGACTAACAAAATGTAGAGAGTGACATTCTGGGAGTTCAGAGCCCAGACGCTCTAATCACTCCCTTCTTAAAGCTTTGAGCCACTGTGTAGGAAATTCAGGCTCCCTGCTGGAGAGGAAAGTCTGGAGGATGAGAAACTAAGTAAGACAAGGTCACATGAAGAAGCACCTAGAAGCCTAAGAGTGACATGATCTGACATCTTTTAAAAGGATCACTGTTGTGTGGAGAAAGGACGTAGAGAACATCAATGGAAATAAGGAAGTTAACTAATGGACCGCTTTACAATAGTCCACAGAAGAGAACAATCTTTGCCAACTGAATTTGCTAATAAACTGGGTGTGGAGTATGGGGGCGGGGGGGAAGGGGAGGAGAATCCAAGATGGTGGCAGAGTAGGTGGACCAGCTGGAATTACAACTAAATTATAGATCATCCTGAATAACCAACTGAAGACTAGCTAGTCATTTTTTTAATTTGACTTTTTTTTTTTAAAGAGTAAGAGAAACACTGATTTGTTGTTCCACTTATTTATGCATTCATTGGTTGATTCTTGTATGTGCCCTGACCAAGGATCGAACCCACCACCTTGCCATATCTGGATGATGCTCTAACCAACTGACCTCTCCAGTCAGGGCCAAGACTAGCTTAAGAAAAGGCTTATAATCAGGGATTTACAGAAGAAACCAAATCAAGACTGGCAGGAAGGGCAGAGATACGAAAAAGGCTGGCTCTGAGGTCCTGGAGGGATATCTCAGCCGTGGGTGGTTCCCCGAGACAGGTGAGGTCTCAACCCCAAGCTGGACTCCCCAGCTCAGAGCACCAGAGCTTGGAAGAGGCACCCACATAACACTGGCAATGAAAATCAATGGGGATTCTATCTGCTAGAAACACAGGCACCTTCTTAAAGGGCCAACCCACAAAATTTCATTCACAGCCACTCACCCTTGGCTCCAGCAGAGGGAGGGAGGACTAGACTAGAGTTGCATGAGGAGAGTCATTCTCCCATAATACCGATGGCATCTTTTTGGGTGGAGTACTCCCCTCCATGTGGCATCAGACTAGGGCAAAGCAATAGCTCCACCCTCTGGATTCCCTCTCGCCCTACTCCCTCACCCCCACAGAGCTTACATCCTGTAGGGGAGTCAGCTGCCTTGGCCAGGGTGTAGAGCTCTGAGCAGACTCACGGGGTGTCAGTGACTAAGTTATGTGACTTTGGGGTTGGGGCCATTCCCTTCACTTGCCTGTGAACCCAACTGGCACCTCCTCCTCATGGGAGATCCACTAGCCCCACTCTCCTGGCATCTGGCAGGCCTGCTCACCCGACTCCTAATGACTTTGCCCTGCCAAGGCTGGGGCAAAGTCTGGGATTGACTGAATTGCATGGGTCTAGGGCAGGGGCCACTCCCCACCCTCCCTGAAGCCTGACCAGCAACACCCCTTCACGGGAGACCCACTAGTCCCATCCTCCCGACTCCCCGGCGACCCATTCTTTCTGAACTCCGTCACCTCCTGGCAGAGCCTGGGACAGACTGAGTTGAGTGGCCCCAGGACAGGGGCCATTTTCCCCTTGCATGTCCAACCAGAGCACAGACCCCCTCGGCCCCCCGCCTCACAGGGCCAAATCTTTGTCTGTCTGGGCCTGATAAACTCTGCTTGCCTCATCCTGATGACTCCCTGAGAATATGTAAAGCAAATCTTGATGGATATAAAGGAAGAGACATACAGTAATCTAATCACAGTAGGGGATTTTTAACCCTGTTCACAGCAATGGCTAGCTCTTCCAGACAAAAAAATCAACAAGGAGAATCAACAAGCGGCCTTAAATGACACACTAGGTCAGAAGGACTTAACTGGTATCTTCAGCACGTTTTACCCCAAAGCAGTAGACTATACATTCTTTTCAAGTGCACATGGAACATTTACTAGGAAAGACCACATGTTAGGACACAAAACAAGTCTCAATAAATTTAAGAAGACTGAAATCATATCAAGCATCTTCTCTGATCATAGTGGTATGAAACTAGAAATCAATCATGTGAAAAACACACAAAGATATGGAGGCTAAATAATATGTTACTAAACAATGAGGGGGTTAACAATGAAATTAAAGAAGAAATCAAAAGATACCTTGAAACAAATGAAAATGAGAACACAACTCAAAATCTATGGGACACAGTGAAAGCAGTCCTAACAGGGAAATTCATAGCATTACAGGCCTACCTCAATAAACAAGAAAAATCTCTAAAATATTTAACTTTACACTTATAAGAACTAATATAAGGAACAACAAACAAAGCCCAAAGTGAGTAGAAAAAAGGAAATAATAAAGATCAGAGCAAAAATAAATGAAATAGTCTTAAAAACAACAACAACAACAAAAGATCAATGAAACCAAGATCTGGTTCTCTGAAAAAAGAAACAAGATTACAAACCTTTAAACAAGGTCATCAAGAAAAAAGAGAAGACCCAAATAAATACAATCAGGAATTAAGGAGGAGAGGTAACAATTAACACCAAAGAAAAACAAAGGATTATTAAGAAAATATTACAAACAGCTGTAAGCCAACAAATTCGATAATCTGGACAAAACAGATAAATTCCTAGAAACATACAATCTTCCAAAACTGAATCAGGAAGAATCGGAGATTCTAGACAGACAGATTACAACTAGTGAAACTGAATCCATAATAAAGCCCCCCACCCCCCACAACAAACGAAAGTACTGCACTGAATGTCTTCAGAGGTGAATTTTACCAAACATTCAAAGAAGAACTAGCACCATTCTTCTTTATTTCAAAAAATTCAAGAAGGCAAGATTCCCAAGCTCATTTTATGAGGCTAGCATTATCCTAATTCCAAATCAGATAAAGATACTACAAAGAAAGAAAATTATATGCCAATATCCCTGATGAACATAGATGCCAAAACCCTCAATAATATATTAGCAAACTGGATCCAGCAACACATTTAAAAGATCATATACCATAATCAAGTGGGATTTTTTTTTTCGGAGTCTCTGTTTACCTCTTCTGTAAAATAAAAATGATTAGAGAATCTACTCCACTGGATTTTGTGAGGATCAATCAAAATAATAATAATAATAAAAAAAAGGGTGTTTTACTCACCTGTCACACAGTAATATGACCAATAAATCAACACTCTTAATGACATTCACA